TTATTTAGATATACAGACCAGATCTCTGAGGAGCTCGGTGGAGCCCTCCTCGGCAACAGGCCACGCCCCCCGGAAGTCAGAGCAGGATTTTGTTAACAGCAGTGAATGAAAACCTGTCAGGTTATGCAATGTGGAGCTAATTGGTGGAGGTGAGAGAGAGGAAATGATACTTGAACATAAACAAATCTATTTTTATAAATTATGACAAACAACTATTTTGAAATTTGGGTAATGCATTCTATATCTACTTTCTTGGCACACTACATTCATTTGCCGGTTGGCTCAGATATTCATGTCAGTGTGATATGATCATGATTGGTCTTTGCCCCAACTTTCCTTGAATATATTTACCAAGTTGTATTTGACAAAAAGAGTGTATTGTCTCTACAACACAAGCTAATGCTGAGATTTTACTTTTTGCTGATTGCACCAGAGGCAAAAGTCTGCATGTATTCCTGTTTGTGTAAAAATTATGCAAGACTATAAAGAAGATCCATGTTGAACCCGACTGAAGGTGAATTTAGTCCAGCTTCTGTCTTCACAATGGTCAGTTGAATAGCAATAGCAATAGCACTTAGACTTATATACTGATTCATAGTGCTTTTCAGCCCTGTCTAAGCGGTTTAGAGAGTCAGCATATTGCCCCCAACAATCTGGGTCTTCATCTTATTGACCTCAGAGGGATGGAAGGCTGAGACAACCTTGAACCAATGGGAATCGAACTGCTGACCTACTGGCAGTAGCCTGTAGTACTTCATTCTAACCACTGGACCACCATAGCTCTTTCATGCAAAATAATGCCTCTAGCAAGAACATAAATTGCATAAAATAAGCACTATCCTACTTATGTTTCCTAGCACATGAATTTGAGACCATTCAGCTCTGATAGAATTATTATTTTGCTTAGGCATCTATTCATTATCTTTCATCAGCTTACAAATTGAAATATAAAATCATCTCAATCAGTGCCCCTTCTTTCAGATATACACTGTTTATAAATACAGCTAAACTTTGGGTTACCATGTGCCAATATGTCTCAGAAATTATTGCATATCTCAATCTAAGGTTAATGAGGATTAAATGAAGGCTCTGGTGCTGTATACATAAGGATTTGTGTTGTTGTAGAGATAGCAACTTCCTAACACAGTGTTTCTCAGTGAGTCTTCTGAGCTAAACCCCATTCCAGTCATTTCTTAGAAGATTTCCATCTGGCTGCACAATTAACGGCGATAAATATTGTTGTACAAATTATTGTAGCACAAACTGTGATTTTTTTTTTAAAGATAAAATCTGTGTTGAAGTATTGTGACACAGACCCCATTATAGCCATAAGTTTTTGTTTTGTTTTCACTTCAAAAACATAGGGGTTTTTTTTTTCATTCCTCTGGGGATTCCTGTGTTTGTACATCCAAGAAGAAAGTCCATTATCTTATTTCATATTATAAAAGTACATTTAAAGAATCCAGAATATGTCACGTACCGAGTCGAGCATCCATTAGCGAAATCTGTCAGGAACAAAAGAGAAAAATATCAGTGAAGAAATAGAGTCTTCTTCACTCAACTCTCAAACAAATTCAGACTGTTAGGAAAACTTTCAGTGACGCTCTGAGCTACACAGAGCTTCCATTAGAAAAGAATTCTTGCAGAACAACAGAGCATCCAGGGGGGATATTTTGGATTACAGGCTCCATAGCTCTTGAAAGTAAGGTTGGAATGTATTTAATTGAAATTTTAGCCTGCTACAATCCAGCAATTCTCAGAAGCATACTAACATAAAACATCCATGGCACAATTAGTCAGTATATAATAAAGCAATTATAAGGATTACAGGCTATCTCTAAAACCAGTTCCTGTAATATTCTTCAACTAACAAAGGTCTCTGAAATAATTTGGCTTCTGAAGGGCAGGAAGTGGTCCAGTCAATCTGATTACTCAAGGAAGACTTGGACACTACAAATGTTCCACTCGGCAGAAGTCCTTCCTCTCAGCCTCAGCCCCCCCCCCCCCCCAATGTTGCAAGAGGGGGAGGATAGAATCTGTCTCTGATGCTGTATATAGCCCAACTCAAATCTCGGGGTTGTCACAAAGAAGACAGAAGGAAAAATCATTATTTAGCCTGTGAAAAGTGAGATATAAATCTAGCAAAGGAGACAAACAGGCTGGATGGTTTCCTCGAAAGCTACAGTGACCTTCTGATCTATGAAGAAGCCAGCCAGTTCACTTACAAGTTTAAGACTGAGATTGTAGATAAAGACTAAAACAGATAGGCAACAGGCTATATCTTGGACATGAAAGCTGAATGGATGCCTTTGGGCCAGTCACTCTCTCCCAGCTCAGCCTACCTCACAGGGTTGTTGTGGGGGAAACAAAAGGAGGAAGGAGCATTTAGATATGTTGAAGAAAAAGGTGTAAATAAATAAATAATCACAGTGTAATAATAAATGTTCTATATGCAGAAAAATTAAAACTGAATCTGAATTTTGCACAATTGTCCCTGATATCCTCACAATGCATATGTGTATGTAGGTGTGAGGCTGTATGTCTGGACACACAGATGAGGGAAATTGCATTTATTGGTTTTATCAAAAAAAAAACAAGCCTTGATCAAATAACCATAACATCAAATGACAATTTAAAAAAAATGGTTATATGATGATTTAAGCATTATAAATACCTTGGATAATGCAGAAGCATGCTTGAAGATTTCAAGAGAAGGATCTGCGGGTTCATCACCTCTTTCATTATGCCTAGAAGCTGAAAGGACAACATTCAAATATATTTAGTTTTTAAAAAAACCTTGTATTCTCTAATTCACAGATCAGAACTTTTATTTTATTTTATTATTGTAATGGTGTTTTTTTTTGGAATTTCTGCAATGTGCAGTGTTGACCAATACATATTTTTACAATAAAATTAATGGAACCGAGGCAAAAAAAAATATCAACAATGCTCCTGGATCAGTACCCTGCTTGGGCTAGCAAACACCGGGTTAGCAAAATTGTCCACACAGATTACATAATAGCTGCACCCTGATGTCTGCCTTTTAGCTGAGTAGCCACTCAGCAAGGCCTGCCATTATAACAACTTGTTCCCAGGGTTTTAGCTGGAAGTCTTCTCCAGATGTATCCTGCTGATTTGGGACAGATAGAAAAGGCAGATAACTTTTTCCTAACCTGATGCCTATCCTTCAGAGGAAGCTACAATTCCAATAATGTCAGCCTGTTGGCTGCAGAAAGCTGGAATCCCAATATCATAGATTTTCATTAGTGAACATAAATATGATCACTCTGTTCAAGAATTTGCATTTTTTAGTCTACTTATTCAACCAAATGAAAGGTTTGCAGCTTTACAGCTTGATGGAGTATCAAAAGGCGCTGGCAGTTTTGAGGGCAGGAAAAGGGATTGTCACAAAGTAGATAAGAGCAACATTAGAGTTTGAATAGCAAATAATATTTTTTACAAGTTAACCTCTGATCCTTTCGTTGCCCTTTTCCTCCATCAAACATGTATAGGACCCACAAATCAGCAGAGATACAACTGTGACTCAGGGGTGTCAAACTCATGTCATCACTGCAACGTTACACGGAGTCCTTCGGGAGTGGGCGGCATACAAGACCAATAAAACCAAACCAAACGATGTATCAGGACTTTTTTCCTCTTCGCTAAACCAGGAGTGTGCGTGGCCAGCGTGTGACACATCCGGCCCACGGGCCAGGAGTTTGACAGCCCTGCTGTAACTAAAGCCATATTATAATCCATATAAAATAAGCTACAAGCCAAGCAGAGAGCTTTCAAGAGAGAATTTGCTAAAGGCCATTATGAAAACAGATGCAGTGTATAAAATGTGCTTTGGGAGGGAGGAGAATCACTGATAAGCTGCATGGAATTGCTTCATAGTAAAGTGACTGATCAAGGGAAAGGTTTCTCTTTCTTTTTCTAATCAACTAATTTCTGTCTGACAAGATTGTTTGTTTCAAATGAGCCTACAGGAATGGGTGCAGATCAGTGGTGGGTTGCAGGCAGTAAGCCCCAGTACGGGCGTACCGGAGCACCGGGTACCATTCCAGTACAGTGCTCTGGAGGCCCCACCCACGGAGGCATCGCGGAGGCATCGCGGAGACGTCGTGAGGGTAAGGACACATGCGCACACTGCATGCGTGTGCACATGTGCTGTGTGTGTGCTTGTGGGAGATGCCGGGCCCCGTTGCACTGTACTGGTTGCAACGGGATCAGGAACCCACCACTGGTGTAGACAATGTATATAACCAACTTGAGCAAATTACTTGCTTGCTTGTAAACTTTTGTATACACCCTGTGATCAAACAGTTTTAGAGCCCTCTTCAGCTGATGTTTTGCAGTTATTAGGCTTAAGAAAAAGTTCCCTATGCTTGACTGTCCTTTTTGAAGAATGATGGACGTAGCTTCTGAGCAACTTCTGTGTGAGATTCTAGAGTCACAAGCTTCTTAAGTTTGAAAGCCTTGTACTAGTCTCAACCTTACCACCCAATGAGTGATAGCAGAGACCGAATTCCACGTGTAAGGATGTTATTGTGAATTGCAAGCCCAATTTTTGCATATTGTACTTCTGCCAGGGACAAATGCTGAATGGAAAAAGGAAATAATTTCTGAAAGATATGTGAAATCACTTTTTCCTCCTAAATGTGTTCTTCTGATCCACACGAAAGAGATTCCAAGAAGCAGACATAATCTGCCCACGTTCCACCATATCCAACCTCTATAGAGACCAATACAAACAAAGTAGGCACCTCTTGATTCTGAACCTAACAACGACAGCAAGACTGTTGGTGGCGCAGTACTGGAAGAAGGAAGATTTGCCTACTATTCAAGAATGGACATTAAAAGTAACAAACTTAGCAGAGTTGGTAAAATATCAGCATATCTCAAGGATCATTCAGATGAGAAATATAAGCTGGAGTGGAGAAGGTGAATTGACTATATTCAAAATAAATATCGGACTAAGAAATTTCAATTAGCTTATGAATGAATGAACAAGGAATGTTACAATTTATCTAAAGTTAGCTTAATAAAAGGGGAGTTAAAGTACAAGAGGAGGTAAGAATGAAATTTGGGTTATG